TAAATGATAATGAAAAGCATATTTCTGTTTATACCGTTGAGTACTCTGATTTATGGCATATTAGATTGGGACATGTAAATCGAAATGCAATTAAACGGTTGATGAATTTAGAATTAATTCCTAATTCTAAAATTGAATCGCATAAGAAATGTGAGATTTGTATTGAAGCAAAAATGGCGAAGTTGCCTTTTCACTCGGTGGAAAGGTGTACTGAACCATTAGGATTAATCCATACTGATGTATGTGATATGAAAAGTGTGCAAACAAGAACGGGTAAAAAGTATTTTATTACTTTTATCGATGATTGCACAAGGTTTTGCTCTTTATATTTATTAAGAAGCAAAGACGAGGCTGTGGAAGCATTTAAAATCTATAAGACCGAAGTTGAAAATCAACTCGGCAAAAGGATTAAAATAATCCGAAGTGATAGGGTGGGGAGTATGTAGCTCCTTTTGAACAAATATGTTCTGAATATGGCATAATTCATCAAACGACTGCCCCTTATTCTCCACAGTCAAACGGTGTTGCTGAACGCAAAAACCGTACTTTAAAAGAAATGATGAATGCCATGTTGATAAATTCAGGATTACCCCAAAACATGTGGGGGAAAGCTGTTTTAACAGCAAATCATATTCTGAATAAAATACCACCTAAAGGGAAAGATGAGACTCCTTACGAAATGTGGAAAAATTGTAAACCGTCTTATAAATACCTGAAAGTGTTGGGGTGTTTGGCTAAGGTTTCAGTATCGGAACCCAAACAAATGAGAATCGGGCCAAAGACGGTCAACTGTGTATTTATTGGATATGCGTACAATAGTACAACATATAGATTTCTGGTTCATAAATCAGAAAATCCAGAAGTATCTGTTGGTACCACGATTGAGTCGAGGAATGCTATATTCTTTGAGAATATTTTTCCTCTGAAGGAAATAGCAGAATCTAGTTCTAATAAACGAACGTATGAAACTGCTAGTGGTTCTGTACCAGAGGGTACTGATGAAGAACCGAGACGTAGTAAAAGGTTAAAAACGGCAAAAACATTTGGACCTGATTTTATTACGTACATGTTGGACGATGAACCGAGCTCCCTTAAGGAAGCTCTGTCCAGCCCAGATGGACCACTCTGGGAAGAAGATGTAAATAGCGAAATCGAGTCCATTATGCAGAACCATACTTGGGTGTTGGTTGATCTCCCTGATGGTTGTAAACCTTTAGGATGCAAGTGGATCCTAAAGAAGAAATATAAAGCTGATGGATCGATTGATAAGTTTAAAGCACGTTTGGTGGTCAAAGGCTTTAAACAAAAAGAAGGGTATGATTTCTTTGATACCTATTCACCAGTTACGCGTTTAGCGTCGATAAGAGTGCTTCTCTCGATTGTTGCTTTGCACAATCTTGAGATTCACCAAATGGATGTCAAGACGGCATTTTTAAATGGTGAATTGGAAGAAGAAATATACATGGAACAACCTGAAGGGTTTGTTGCACCTGGACAAGAGAGAAAGGTGTGTAGATTGATCAAATCCTTGTACGGACTGAAACAAGCTCCGAAACAATGGCATTTGAAATTTGATGACGTGATGTTGTCAAATGGTTTCAAAATCAACGAATGTGACAAATGTGTTTATGTCAAGAGTACATCAAATGCATTTATGATTGTATGTCTTTATGTAGACAATATGTTGATCATGGAGAGTAGCCATGAAGTGATCATGGATACGAAAAGAATGTTGAAAAGAAATTTTGACATGAAAGATATGGGTTTGGCTGATGTTATTCTTGGAATAAGGATTATCAGAACCCAAGATGGAATTGTCTTGTCACAATCTCATTATGTAGAGAAAGTGCTCAAGAAATTTTATACCTATGACGGTGCACAGTCTAGGTGTAAGACACCCATTGATCTTAGTATAAATTTGGTAGCCAATAAAGGTCAACCAGTGGCTCAGTTAGAATATTCACGGATAATAGGGAGTCTGATGTACTTGACGAATTGTACACGACCAGACTTGGCCTACCCTGTGAATAAGTTGAGCAGATTTACAAGCAATCCCAGTCATGAACACTGGAATGCTTTGAGAAGGGTATTTAAGTACTTGAGGTACACCCTTGAATACGGGCTAAAATACTCGAGATATCCAGCCGTACTTGAAGGGTATTGTGATGCAAGCTGGATATCAGATTCGAGAGATTCTCACTCCACTAGCGGATATGTATTCTGTATTGGAGGAGGTGCAGTTTCGTGGAAATCCACAAAACAAACATGTATAGCTCGGTCAACGATGGAATCGGAGTTCATCGCTTAGATAAAGCTGGCGAAGAAGCCGAGTGGCTTAGAAATTTTTTATCTGATATTCCATGTTGGAATAAGACTTTGCCGTCTGTGATGATTCACTGTGATAGCCAAGCTGCTATAGGTAGGGCGCAAAGCAACTTGTATAATGGTAAGTCTAGACATATTCGTCGTAGACATAATACCGTACGACAATTGATCTCAAATGGTGTTATTTCCATTGACTATGTGAAATCTAAGGATAATTTGGCTGATCCTTTGACGAAAGGATTAAATAGAGATCAATTGGTAGTTCTGCTAGAGGGAATGGGCTAAAAAATCCACAATGTAATGAATGATCATAGTGGTAACCCTACCATGCTGAGTGGAGATCCCACGAACTTGGTTCAAAGGGAAAACTAAGTTATAAAAATTCAGTTGAGCACTTAGAACATATGAATATCCAAAGCTATTCCCTAGAGCACTCCAAGTGCATGATGACCTGTTGATTGTGGTGAGGGTAAGTCATGTGGACTTTTAATGAATCCCTAACCTTGTAAAGGTGGAGTATTACAGGATACTCTTGATAGGGAGGTCACCTATATAAGTGTGAAGTGTGGGCCGCTTCAAATGTAAACACTTATGAATCCATTGTGTTGTTCATGGCCAAAACGGACACAACGATAGAACGGAATGGAGTGAAAACTCTATTGTGTAAATGTCATTGTCTCGGTGTATACTACGGAGGAATAGTTCAAGACATCATGTCCACTAGTCCACCAGTGCATCCGATGATGTTTACAAAGAAAGGTTCAAAGCCCAAAGCTACCTTTTCTGATGCAATAGAGTTTTGCGAGGATTGAGCACGATAGTATACATATATTTAATTTACACTCATGTGGGGGATTGTTAGAATATTGAGTGTATTTTAAATATTGGTCCCATTTGATATTGATTTCTCAACCTTCCCAGCTGCCAATTGATCTCATAGGAAATGCATGCGTGAAGAAATTATATTTGGTGAACAAATTGTCAAATTCTTCAACTACAAATACCAAAAATCCCAACCCCAAACCAATAATCATCAACATCCTGTAACCAATTTTCATCTATAAATACTCATCAACTCATTTGATGAAAAACACACAAAAGAGAAGAAAGAAACACGGCAGAGAATAGAAGTGAAGGGAAAAGAAGAAAGAAAAAAAAAATATTAGTGAGGAAAAATTATCATATAGATAATTTTATTAATATTTTTAAGTGCTCAATTCTCGACTCCTATCCAGTTCGCCGAAGCTCGTAAATCTGGTGTGCTACAGATTTAGAGACGTTTGCCGTTGTATCTTTGGGGAAGTTACGCCTGAACCGTTAGCTGCCACACGGAGCGTATTCTTTTGCGGAAAGAGTTTTACTCGTCTCGGCTATAATATTACCGTTTTAATTTAATTTAACTTATTTTTCATTTGTAATTTATTTTTTTCAGTTCAATTGTAATTTTCTATTTTTAGATTATTTGTAAGAACTGAAAAATACATATCAGTTCGTAGGATTCCCGTGTAATTTTATACTCGATTTATAACAAAGTGTTCGCTCGGTACAAGAGTATCATAATAAAAAGAAACTATTTATTATTCAATCATATAGAAAAATTATGTGAAAGTGTCTCAAGTTGCTTTTTGCTTATTGTATTTTGCCAACTAAGTATGTCTTTCCTAAAATTATATGTCAACTTATATTATTACGGGTGCACGTAGCTGCTATTTGTATTTTGGCATATTACTGTTGCTTTCTTGACTTAAATTTTCATATAGGTGATGTAAAATTTCATTGTAAGTTAAATAGTGCATATATATGTCTGTTCAGTGTACTGAAAATAGCTGATCTTTACTGGTTGATCTTAGTGCGAGTAAACATGTATTACAAAGACATTGTAGATACTTTCTCTTCCAAGTTCCAAAAAATATGTGCAATGAACTTTAGGATTGTTTTATTTTCTGCATGCTTGTTGCGTCATGAAACTGTTGATTTCTTATAATTGCCTCAACAGGCGGCAATATATTCTGATCGCCTAGTTTATGCATTAGAAAGACATCGGAGATGACTTCTATTCCAAAAATATGTGTCATGAACTTTCTGATTGTTCTATTTTTCTAGGGTTTCACATTAATCCAATGCGTAGCATCTCAAAATTGACCTATTTATTACCTCTCGTACCAAAAGAGTAATCCAAAGTTATGTAGTGATTCTGAATCCTGTATAATTTTTATTTTCCTTTTTCCTACCCATTCTAATTGGATGAAAATCAGGCTCCTGGAGGAACATGGCGCGATAGACTTGCAGCATGGAAAGGAAGAAGATAACCGCACAATTCGACTCATTGAATGCCAAGTATGTGTGGAATTTGATCTGGAGTCGAAGTAGATCTTCTTCAGAAGCGGCAGATCCATTATTTTCTGAAAGTTGTATTGGCATTGTTGCCTGGATTACTAATTTTATGGTTCATCAGGAAAAATCACCCCCATTGTTTTTCCATCAACTTTACATTGTCATGTTAATATATTATCCTTATCTGTTTATATGTCAAACTCATGATGTTATTCTATTTACATCCGCATTAGTAACTCATTCTAATCTTCTTTTAATTCGATTCCCTCATTGAGGTTTAATTAACTAATTATTTTCATTACTACAAAATTAATCAACAAAAAAATTAAACACCACATGCATCAAGAAGGCCATGTTTATGATAATTGTCTTCTTTGAATTTTTTTCAGAAGGTCATGTTTATGATAATTGTGTCAAAGATTACAATATAAATGTCAATTAGCCAACAAATTCATGTAGCTGTTCTAGGATATAGTCGCATACTAGAGTTTGCTAGTAGGAACCCCATCAGGTGCTGAGCGAGATCGTTTTTCAACTGCTCGAGAAAACTGTCTCACTGCCTCTTTTGGCAGATTACGAGGTTTGGCCAGCCACATTCCTCCATCAATTGCTAACACACTTCCATTTATATATTTACCTTCACATTTATGGATCCCAACAGTGTGAAAAAAAATAAAAATAAAAAAATAAAAAAATTGCCAAATAAATTAATCAAGTGTACTGAAATTGACAAGAAAAACTATTATTAGGACGAGCCATAAAACACAAAAACGCATGAAAGATACATAAATAGATCAAATACCAAAAAACATGAATGCAATATGCAATCCCAGCAAAGAACGCATAAATATTTCATAATGCTCTTGTTACCATCGAACTAAAGAAAATAAATATGAACTATGTGGTATGCTTTAGTTAGTTAGGGAGAATGAAGTTAAAACATAAAGAGGAGATGACTGACCAGTATTGGATGCAAGGTAGATAGCAGCCATGGCAACATCCCATTTCTCACCAACTTTGTACATATATGAAGGGTCTCTCGATCCATATCCATTAGAGATAATCTCTTTTGGCACAAGCTTGCTCAATCCAGCAGTATCGCCTATGGGACCAGGTGCTATTCCGTTCACCCTTATATCATAATCTGTGCCCCATTCTAGGGCCAAATTTCTCGTTAGGGCATCAATGGCTGCCTGTCCCAAAAAAAAAAAAAAAAATCACATTTTATTGATCACAAGCAAAATTCCAAAGGAAATCGAATTGTATTCATTGCAAGCAATTAAATGACAAACCTTTGCTGCAGATACATGGAGTTGATACCAGGATGCTGTGTAATGCAAAGTGGCACTGATATTCAGTATAAGTCCTCCAGCTGTCGAGTTTCTTCCCGGTGCACCTTTCTTAAGATACTTGAGAGCTTCATGGCACATGGTAAATGTGCCAACAGCATCGATATCCATAACTGAACAAACAGATTACAATGTCGCACAAATAAAATCATGTCTAGCTAAAAGTGTATAAATATAGAATAGTTATTGTCTCCCTTTAAAGAGTGTGTTTGCATCTCTGTCCACTTGAGCATTAAGAGGACCATAAGTCTTAACTTTTTTCTTATGGTTGTGCATAATAAGAAAGATCACCATTGACATTTAAGCGGTCGAGAGAATCCTGTTGTATCATTCCAAATTTCACATAACCCCTTTAGGTGGTATGAAAAAGTTACATTTTCTTAACGAATCTCCTGCTTTTTATGCGAAAGCAGATGACATGAAGAAGAATTTGTAATTCTCGTAGCTGGTGTCTTTCGAAATTAGAACAAACCTCTTTTTTTTTTTTTTTTNTTTTTTTTTTTTTTTTGTATTTACTTATTATGAAAATTAATGCTCACTACTTCATCAGGACATACCAGTTTCTAATGTGAAAAATTAAAATTATATAATCATTCTTGGAAAACCAAGCTGGATTATTTGATGAAATCCTATCACAAACTGGCCATGAAATCTCAGAATACATAATATTAAACTCAAATTTCAAGAACTTACAATTAAAATCTAATTATAGCATAGATAAAACTGAAAAGAAAAAAGACAACAAGTCTTTCATTTTAAGTGACACCTGTTTTAAATCCATTGGGCGACAGATCCTCAGCTGATACAAGAAAATTGCCAGCAGCACCATTCACAAGAATGTCGAGCTTCCCGAAATGCTTCACTGTTGCCTCCACAACTCTTTGGGCATCTTCCTGCTTGCGAACATCTCCTTCAAACCCAACTGCCTAAAGAGATGAGCATATGAAGCAAAAAAAAGGTATAAGAAGACGCGATAAAATAAATAACTGTAGAAAGTCGAGTGGTAAGGTCGAATTGTGTAAAACATTCACTGACGACATTTAAATTTAACATTCCATTACAGAACACATGATATAATTCCATTGATAGGTTAAACAAATAGCATCCATGTATACTTTTTAAGTTTACGAACTAAGGGAAAATAGTGTGCTGCCTGCCTAACCATCTCCAGTTTTGCACTTTGCCTACAAAATTAACAAAAAAAAAATCTTACTTTCATACATCAACTTTAGGTTGGTTCAAGAGTGAATGCCATGTACCATAGCTCTAAGGTGCGAAAAGGCAATAATTCAGAGGGCAAACTACATTCAACTGATAAATTGTTGGGAAAATAAAAGCTCTGACCAATTTTAGCAGCATCAACATCAAGGTAACCTTATTGAGAGAAATTGAGAATAAAAGCAACAAATAGAAAACCAAACAATCAATGTGCAGCCAGAAATACTGTTCGCTATAAGGATCTAATTAAGCTGAACCAGAAACAAACAGTACAATTAAGCTACTTAACAAAGGAGTTAATTTAATTATGGAAGAGTTAAAGGGAAAGAAGAGTGATACTGGGATGCCGAGGGATTTGAGGGCCGAAACGGCGTCGTCTAGGACGGGCTTGCGGCGGCCCATTATGGCGACGGAGGCTCCATGCTTTCCGAACTGAGTGGAAATCTCGAAGCCGATGCCTGATCCGCCTCCGGTGATGAGGGCTACTTGGCCTTTGAGTACATCAGCCTTGAATGGGGACTCCATTTTCGTCTTCTTCGATTATATCGTCTTGATTCAGTGAGAATATATATAACAATTAACAACCAAATAGAGTAAGGTTTGTGAAATGCAGGGCAACTGAAGTTATTGAGCTATAACTTATAGACCTCTGCCGAGTACCGAATCAACAAATAATTCTATGGGTATATGAAGGCCACGGCTACCTACCATTTTCTAGATGTTTTATATATTCTTGATCTATATCATCTATTAAATTAAACATATTTATGATATTTTCTTTACTATATAATTCATAACAACTAAAAATTCTTGTAGTACAATTTTTAATTGTTTACAACATCTTGAGTCGACTTTAGTTATTTCATGGAGTTCTAATTTCATTATACATAGTTCATCTCTATCTTCTTTCACATATTTTTCTAAAACTCCTAGAGTTTTTTTTTCTCTTGTTTCAGTGATTTTTTTCGGCAAAATTTCATTTTGGTCCTATAACTTGGCCACAGTTCAAAAAACCACCCCTATATTGACCACTTTCAATTTAGGTCCTATAACTTGTCAATTTAATCATTTATGGTCCTATTTTATCCGGCAGCAGGATTAAAATTTGACGTGACATTTTTTTATCCGATGTGGCGCCTCATGTTAAGATAATAAAAAATTGGAGCAGTCACGTGGAAAATAAAATTGCCACATCAGGTATAACTCTCCTTAAAATCGATTTGCCCCAAAATCGACCCCTGTAACCCTGATTGAGAGAAGCTCGACCGAGAGAGAGAGAGAGAGAGAGAGCGAACAACGATGTCTTCTGCTTCTTCCTTCTCGACGCCTTCCAATTTTTTTTGTGATTGTAACAAGAGAGCTGTAATACGCAGATCACGGACTTCAACAAATCCTGGTAACAAATTTCACGGTTGCAAGTATTGAAAGGATGGAGGTTGTTCGTTCTTTAGATGGGTAGATGAAGATGTTCCCGAGAGCTCGAACAATCATATTATGGCCAATGAAATGATTGAGGTCAGGAAGAAGATGTTATTGCTTGAATCCGAGAACAAAAAAATCAAGGAGATTGTTGAACTCCAACTTCAGCATGTGGAGGACATCTATGAAGAATTTTCCAAAATTCGTCAAAAAATCTGGAAGCTCGTTGTGTTTGTTGCTGCAACATGGTTTCTCTTCATTATTTTGATTGTTGTCATGTGGTGAAAGTTGTATGTTTTTTATTGTTGTTATGTGCTGCAACAAGGTTGTATGTTTTTTCTTCATTTTGTGTTGTATGTTTTCCAAGGTTGTTTGTGTTTGTGTGTGAACACTTTGTGTTGTCTGATGAATGAATGAACACTATGTGTGTCAAACTTTTGTACCTATGTTGTAATGGAGATGTTGGTCTTGTTAATCTTGATAGTTTTGTTTATCTTATTTTTGTTTACCTTAAACAGAACAATTTAAGTTCATCTGCAGAACAAGAACATTATAAACAATTAGAGGTGTACTTGTCCATAAGCAGAACCTATAAAATCAAACAATAACCTGAAGTCATAACCAGAACTTGGAACAAAAGTGACCTGAACTTTGAGTTCATCTTCACAACCATAAAATCAAACCATAAGCAGAACCAGACAGAACAAAAAAATTTCACATACATTTCCATAACAAACACAATTCCAAACCAAAAAAACTTGTCCACAACCTGAACCAACTAAACCATCCACACAAAAACCAGCCATTCAGTGACAATAACAAAAACACCGTAATCCAGTTAATATCCAAAAACCAACCATCAATCAACAACACCCAAATTCAGTTTCAAAACACAACCAACTTATTTGGTTACATTATTTCCCTTCTTTTTAGGATCAGCAGATGGAACAAGACTACTAATAGAGGTGTACTTTTGGCCACATTCTTTGAATATCTCCTTCAATCTTGAATCTCTCTCAGTTAGGCGGCTCTCTTGGCTTGGTATGAAATGACCACTAACAAATGGTACTGGTCCTCTGATGACCACTTCTTTAGTGGGATGTCCCATCTGCATTTGTTGGTAAGGAGTTGGGGCAGCTTTGAACCATTGTGTTGCAGGGGCAGGGGCAGGTGGAGCAAGGGCAGGTAGAGCATGAGCAGGTTGAGGAGCAGGTGGAGCAATAGGTACAGATTGTGTTGCAGGGGCAGATTTATACCACTTTGTTGTAGCAGGAAAAACAGGGAAAGGGGCAGGTGAAGCAACAGGTACAGATTGGTTTCTAACCTAACAAGCAAGTTTTGGTTGTGTTAGTTTGTAAAGATGACTATTAATAGTTGAAAGTCAAAGAACCTGAAAGATGACTACTTACATTACTTGTGCTTTGTTGAGTTGACACGCCAACTGCTGGTACAGGATCAACCACCCTCTTTCTAGTATGAAAACATGAACAAGTAAGGTCAGTTTGTGTTATTTTGGAAAGATGACTATTAATAGTTGAAACTAAAAGAACATGAAAGATGACTACTTACTTTGCTTTTGCTTTCTTGTGTTGACACTCCAACTGCTAGGACAGGATCACTCCCCCTCTTTCTAGTATGAAAAAATGAACAACTTATATGAATCAACTTTGTATAAATGAAAACGTGAATCAGCTTATACATGAAGACATTAAACAACAATTTATTATACTATTACCTTTAACTTTTCTGGTCTTTGTTGACCTTGAGATTTCAAGAGAAGACATCCTTTCTTATTGTGACCCTCTCTCTGACAGAAGTTGCACTTAACTGTCATTTGTTGCCTCTTCATTGTATTTTCCTTGGTCACAACCCTAGGCTTACCCCATGGTCTCTTTCTCCCACTAGAAAGAACCTCATCAGGTTCCATTCTCCTAGCCTTTCTTGGCCTTCCTGCTGATCTTCCAACATTTGGTGGCTCAGGTGGAGGATAAGCAGTTGCTGCCCATTCTTTTCTTCCATTAATAGGCATGATTGCAGGCTCATACACCCTCTTGTATGTCTCTGTCTTGTAGCAAGGGCTTACAAAATCTTCAATGCTCCAGCCTTGCAAATTAATTGCACTCAATGCATGAAACAAGGGATTCCAAACAACTCCCATTTTCTGCACCCACAGCTCTGTGCCCTTAGATCCACCTTAAACTGATCACCATTCACACATTCAACTTGAAAATTATACTCATCAGATTTGAGGGGGATGCATTCAACCAAATTATCAATATGAGTATCTATGATTTCCTGTATCTTGGGACACAATGAAAAGTTCCATTTTTTTGCACATCTATCCCTATTTTGCTGCAATCTCCTCATCAAGTACCCCATTATCCACTTAAGCATTGACAGAATTGGTTGTTCCCTGGCCTCAAGGATATTGCTGTTGAATGTCTCACAAGCATTGTTAAGAAGTTTGTCACACTTAGGAAGTAAATTAAAGTGTGACCTACTCCACTCTTGTGGTGGTTTTTAGACAACCAACTCCAAGCATCTTCACACAATTGTCTAACTGCACCCATTTTCCTGTGGAACTCATTCACTGTAGTGACTGTTGCACATCTCCAAACAACATTCTTAAATGCTATCCCCCTAAAGCCAACATCTCTGAAATTTCTCATCAAATGTCTAACACAGAACCTGTGATCACAATTTGGAAAAATAGCTTATGCAGCCTGTATCAATCCTTTTTGCTTATCTGAAATGATGGTCCATTCATGCTGATTGACAATCTCCAAATCATTTTTCAAAAGAATAAAAAACCACTCCCAATTGTCAAAATTTTCAACACTAACAACAGCATAAGCCAATGGGAAAAGTGCATTATTGGGGTCAACCCCAACAGCAGTAAGCAAAATCCCCTTATTGGGACCTTTCAGATGGCAACCATCCACACCAAACACTTTCCTACAACCTGCCTTATATCCCAACTTCAATGCATTCAAGCAAATATATAATCTATTAAACACACTCTTCCCAGTTTCAGAAATTGTATCCAAAACAACTGTACTACCAGGATTTGTTCTTCTGATCTCCTCACAATAATCCCACAACAATGCATACTGCTCTTTAGGTTCACCTTTTTTATCAGCAATGACATGCACTTTGGTTCTGTATGCTTGTTGTTTAGAAATGTGAACCCTAAGCTCTCTTGCTGCTTGATTTCTAAATCCCTTAACAGCCCTCTGAGGATCATCTTGAAAAACAGCAGCATATTTCCCAGCCAACCAAGTGGATTTCAAATTTTTTACCTTTCCAATCACTGCACAAGTGTGCCTAGGGGTATGCTTGCTAACCTGAAAGGTCTGCTCATTTTTCACCCTAACTGCACTAATCTTCCATGAACAGTTACTATCACCACACTTAGCTCTAAGGCATTGTTTCACATTTTTGCTAATTACCACAGTTCTTTTTGCCTTAATGGCACTTGAATGTATAGCTTTCTTAAGCTCAGATTTTGTGGCAAACATCATACCTATCTTGAAGTTTGGTTCATACAAGTCATTAGGTTTAAACACAGGATACTTATAACTCACTTTGTCCTCATCAGAGCTATCTTCACTATTTAACTCCTCTTGGTATACCACATCTTCATCCCCTTCACTTTCATTTTGATTTTCAGTTTCATTCACATTTTCAGGTTCATTTTCACTCTGACCAACATCATTATCAACATTCTCATCAAAAAATTGATCATCTACTTTTTCATCCCCCATATCATACTCCCAATCATAAAGTTCATCACTGGATTCATCACTTTCAAGACACTCTCCCTTACTACCCTGACCCTCATCTTCATCACAGAAGTCTCCTTTACTACCCTCACCCAAGCTCTCAATACCATCTCCCTCATCCCCCTCACCAAAGCTCACAGCAACACCATCTCCCTTAACCCCCTCACCCAAGCTCACAGCACCACCATCTCCCTTAACTCCCTCACCCAAGCTCACAGCACCACCATCTCCCTTAACTCCCTCACCCAAGCTCACAGCACCACCATCTCCCTTACTTCCCTCACTTAGGTCATCCTCAACCTCACATTTATCACCCACTTTCTGTTCCTTTTGCATTTCTCTCATCTCATCAACATACAAGTTTACTTCTCTAAACTTTCTATTATCTTCCCAAATTTTTCCTAAATCACGCTGAGAGCTTACTAACACAAACATATGTCTCTTATTTTGATACAGTCTGAAAGGTTTTTTTACACCTTTTCCTTCAGCAAGCTTTCTGAAATCATCAAGACATTATATGGTCAACAAAATCAAAAATAATTGAAGAACCTCCTAGATATGCTGCATAGTTGTGACCTTGGTCAAATTCACCTCCATAATGTAGAGCAAATGTGAAAAATTCACTTTCGATTCCTACAAACCAAAAAGTAATTTTTGTTGATTAGCAACATAAATGTAAATCTTAATTTCAGAAAGTACAATAAACAAAGTCTAAAAAACCCTAATTTCAGAAATTATAAACCTAATTTCAAAAATTATAAACCCTAATTTTTAAAAACCCAAATTCAACAATTATACTAACCATATCTAGGAGGGGGAAGGTAATCAAGCTCTTTTCGCCACAATTTCATCTCGCAGTTTGGGACTTTAACTCCTAGAGCAACTTTCTCGATCAAACTGAGATTGTCTACATCAAACTGAGATGTTTTCTCCATCGCCGATTTCGATTGCTGCTTCACTGGTTGAGACTGAGAGGTCTTCATCGCCGATTTCGCCGATTTCGATTGCTGTTTTAGTGGTTGAGACTGAGAGGTCTCCGTCGCCGATTTAGATTTTTTCCTCACCATTTCAAGCAGTTTCGATTTTTGTGGAATTTCGAGAGTTGAGATTTGAAGATTTTCTTGAGTGGAAATTGAGAAATTGCAATCGATTCTGAGAAATTGAGAGTAGAGAGGAGAAGACAGTTTTAGGGTTTTGAGAAATGGGATCGATTTGTCGATTGAGTTGCACATTTGGGAGGGTATATCTGATTCATTTCGCGCCTTCTCGTATCCTGCCACGTAAAACCACAATCATGCCACATTGGATAAAAAAAATGCCACGTCAAATTTTAATCCCGCTGCCGGATAAAATAGGACCATAAATGATTAAATTGACAAGTTATAGGACCTAAATTGAAAGTGGTCAATATAGGGGTGGTTTTTTGGACTGTGACCAAGTTATAGGACCAAAAATGAAATTTTGCCGATTTTCTTCTGAATATATTTATTCGTTTCATATTTAAGTTTACTTCAACTATTTCTATTAATCATGATCGATCCTGAAAATTTTATAAAAATTTTCTCTTACTTGACAGACAAAAATTTTCTATATAACTTACGCTGCATAACTTCGTGTTATTTAGAAAATCTAACTACCTTATTTTTTGTGTTTCTTTTAACTCTTGTCCTGTAATTCGTAAAAATTCTCTTAATAAGTCTTTTGTTAATTCTCTTAAAGCTGTCATTTAATACTATGCTCCTATTTCTGAACCACTGGCTTCAAGATTTAATAGGATTCGAGTATTTTCTAGATAGTCAAATAATACTCCTGATGTTTTATATCTTATATAATTGACAAAATCTGTTAATGTCATTCAATTTATCATTGAATCATTGTTTGAACAAGTGATTTAAAAACCGTACTGGCCAGTAATACCAGATACCGGCCACTGGTACGGTATAATTACACACAAAATACCGGATTTACGGTTATACTGGTTTGTACCGGGATCATACCATAAATACTGAAAAATACCGGCCAATAAAAAAAATATAAGAAAATAAAATTTATTAATTTAAAAACATAAAATTTAAATTGGTAGGTAAAATGTTTTATTTTTATCTCATTGAGAAGTTGAAATTAATTATTATGGTCATTTATTTTTTACTTTTTTGCATTTGGTATTATATATTTTTATGTATATTTATATATATTATTATATTTGCTAGTCTGGTAATACCGCGTACTGGTGGCTAGACCGGTATGACCACTAGTACGGTATTTAAAACAATGGTTTGAACTAAGAATTTTAATTGGTTAGTCCAAGTGACTATTAAATCTTCTGCATTGATTGCACAGTCTATATTTAATATTCTATTATATAGATTTCTTTCTTTTACTAAATATGTATGTGGTATATTTTTCTTTATTTTTTCTTGATGATAACTATAATCTCTTATATATGTAAAATCTTTATAACTTCTTTCTGCATAATTATTTGTGAACTAAGTGCTTCACTGTTATTTATTTTAGATCGTTTTGGTGATTATGGTGATGTTGTATCAGGTTTCTGATCAGTCATATTAAATGTGGGTTCATCTTTGATGGGTCTACTTCCAGATCTGGAGAAAATCGGTTGTTGTGAGCTCCGATCTGTTTGAACCGCCTTCAAATCGTTGCTAGACCGCCGCAAACACTTGCAAGAACCCAACGCCGGGAGAGGTCCCGGCGTCGAGCCTCCGACGCTCAAGTCAGTAAACAGAGGAGAGGAAGATGAAGCTCTGTAATGTAGACATGTAATGCATGTAGAAATGCATAGAATGTGGGGGGGAGAGCTTTTCTCAGAGAGCAGCAGCAGCAGAGAGACGGAAAGTGTGTAGAATGAGTAGAGGTTAGGGTTTAGGGTTACCTCAGTCCCTTTATATAGAGGGAACTACATGCTTGAAGTACCGAAAATGCCCCGGTCGGTTTACCTGAAGTGTCATAAATACCCTGGAACGGTTCGCATTCCATCTACCTCCTAGTCAGCTCAAAATTCTTTATTATCCAATTACTGCCTCTAGATCATGCTCTTGTAGTCACATAGATGTCTAGTAGCGGAGATCTCTAGTCACGGAGACGTCTAGTAGAGAAGACGTCTAGTAGCGGAGACCTCTAGTCATGGAGACGTCTAGTAGAGAAGACGTCTAGTAGAGAAGACGTCTAGTAGCGGAGAGATCTAGTAGCGGAGACCTCTAGTCACGGAGACGTCTAGTAGAGAAGACGTTTAGTAGCGGAGAGGTCTAGTAGAGAAGACGTCTAGTAGCGGAGACCTCTAGTCACGGAGACGTCTAGTAGAGAAGACGTCTAGTAGCGGGGAGGTCTAGTAGCGGAGACCTCTAGTCACAGAGATGTTTAGTAGAGAATATATCTAGTAGCGAAGACCCCTAATCACGGAGACGTCTAGTAAGTCGAGATGACCTCTAGCAGGTCTAGCAGGTTGAGATGACCTCTCGCAAGTCTAGCAGGTAGAGACGAGTCTAGCAAGTCGAGATGACCTCTAGCAGGTCTAGCAGGTCGAGATGACCTCTACTTATCTTCTTAGAGAAGCTCGAGCTTCTCATGCTCAGTCACATAGAGCATGTCTACTTCCCATACTTAGTCGTGTGGAGCTTCTCATACTCAGTCACACAGAGCATGTCTACTTTCCATACTTAGTCGTGTGGAGCTTCTCATGCTCAGTCATAGAGAGCATGTCTGCTTCCCATACTTATTCGTGTGGAGCTTCTCATACTCAGTCACAGAGAGCATGTCTACTTCCCATACTTAGTCATGTGGAGCTTCTCATACTCAGTCACCAAGAGCATGTCTACTTCCTATACTTAGTCGTGTGGAGCTTCTCATACTCAGTCACCAAGAGCATGTCTACTTCCCATACTTAGTCGTGTGAAGCTTCTCATGCTCAGTCACAGAGAGCATGTCTACTTCTCATACTTAGTCGTGTGGAGCTTCTCATGCTCAGTCACAGAGAGCATGTCTACTTCTCATACTTAGTCGTGTGGAGCTTCTCATACTCAGTAACAGAGAGCATGTCTACTTCTCATACTTGATCACCGAGACCTTCAAGTCTCGTCTAGACCTCCTCAGGTTGCTCTTCCTCGTTTTCGCTCGGACCTCTTCATACTTGATTCCGGTTCACAAGTATGGCTATATCAATCTTCATCTTCACTATCTATTCCGTAGATTATTCCTTGTTTATCCCCATCATCTATTTTCGCCATTCAATATTACATTTTCTAATAATTGGGTTAAACTATCTATATTATCCATTAGAACTTGTTGGTGATTCTATTTGAATTGGTTTAAATAATTTTTTCTAATTCTTTTTGTACTAAATCTTGTAATTCTTTTATTGATTCTTTTATTCCTTCCAATTTTTCTCATTTTCTAATTGAGTTTTCTTTATTATTTCTATAAGTGTTCCTATTTGTTCTGATACTCTTGGTTGATCACTCATATTATTTTTATTTTTTAATTAGTTATAACAATTAATTATGTCCTAATGTGGACAGGCCCTTTTAGTAAAAAGACATACCAATTGAGGTTCCATCCAATGACCCAATTGACCTTCAAAATTAGTTTTTAAGTTTTTTGGGGTTGGTAAAAAAGGGCACTCAAGTAAATTCTTTTTTAATGTCAAATGTCAACATAAAAAACACGCTACTTGTCATCACCTAAGGCCTTTCATAACTTCATAAGCTCTTAAATGGTGACACTTGTCCATTTTTGTGCTCTTCAAAAGTTGACAAGTGTCCCTTTTTTTTTTAACATTTTTGTCACTGTACTTTGCATTGCACTTTGTATGCTTTCTATGCGAGTCGGGTTCGGGTTCGCATTTACATACCTACTTATGTGTCTCATGCCCATACTATCTTGAAAATCTTAGTCGACTATGGCATTGATTCTAGCCAACTTGTTAACCTTGAAAAATATTCCATTTACTTTTCTAGAAATAATTCTTCCAATACTATCACTGACGTTTGCACTGCCTTGAATGGAATTTCCAGAGTTAGCTCATCCAAATACTTAGGCCTTCCTTTAAGGATGGGGAAAAATAAGGAAGAAATTTTTCAGTTTATGAGTGATAGAGTAAAACAAAGAGTGAATAGCTGGAAAAATAACTTCTTGAGTGATGTTGGGAGGGAAATTTTGATAAATATTGTGTTAGATGGCCTTCCTACTTAAATGATGTCTTGATTTAGGATCCATGTTTCTATTTGTAAGAGCATATGTAGTGAGATAGATAGATTTGGGGGGTTGTTGGAGATTCACAGGACTAGTTGGGAAAATTTAGCCAACCCAGAAGAGAGAGGAGGATTAGGGTTCAAGAATCTGGAAACTGGTGGGGATTAGCTGGAGTAGTTTAGAGCATAAGAGAGCTTCTTCCAAAAACTAGTGGCAAGAAATTACCACTGTTGGAGAAAGGTACCTGCATTGAGGAGAGAATTAGTCTTTGAAACTACCTATGGTGGTTTTAGAAGACCAGAAGTGTATGGGTGTTCAAGAAAGAATGGTTCAGTGAGAATAAGATTGTACATTTGGCAAGGGAATAATGGCTTAAATTCACTTCAGTTGTGGAGGAGGGTCAGTCTAACATGAGAGGGAAAAGTAGACCTGAGAAAACTCTTATGGAGGACTCTGATGTGGGAGTAGGACAACATTTACTGGTTGTCAGTGCTCTATCTTCTGTATGGGTTGGCTGGGTATGGGAGGAACTTCTGGAGATTAAGGAGATGAAGGAAGGACTGAACACATGGATTACAACTAAGGAGTTGAGGTATGAAAGGAGAAGGAGACCTTGCTAGTTGTTCGATGGATTCTGGAGAAGGCCAAGCATCAAAACATGACTTCTGTCTGCTGCTATTTGGAAGATAGAGGCATGGTACTTAAGCTTAACCAAAAAACCTCATTTAATAGCAGTTATAACATTATTGTTGAGGATATCTTTGTGCTTTCTAGGTCTTTTTGGTAGTTGTAATTTTAAGTTTGATGTTGTTGCTTGCTAGCTTCTCTGGATGAAGTGGTCCTTGCAATTTGTGTTTTAAGGGTGGTCTTGTTGTAGAGGCATGGTACTTAAGCTTAACCAAAAAACCTTATTTGACAGCAGTTATAACATTATTACTGAGGATATTTTTGTGCTTTCTAGGTCTTTGGTAGTTGTAATTTTAAGTTTGATGTTGTTGATTGTACTTGTTGTAAGACAACCCAAGTGGTTGTAGAGGGGAAGTAGCTTGCTAGCTTCTCCGGATGAAGTGGTCCTTGCAATTTGTGTTTTAAGGGTTGTCTTGTTGTAGTCATTGACTATCTGATTGTCCTCATTCGTTAGTTAATGTTATAATTTTGTTTGTCGCTTGTAAAAAAAAATTTAGCATAATATTGCAATAATTTACTTCAAGAAGACATATACCATCGCGAAAATAGTTTCATCTCATCAAACTACACTGCAAAGCCATCAATCATGCTAAAACCACCTTACAAAAGAGTACCAAAATCAACATAATTGCTGGTCCACAAAATATTTCAGGATGATCAATACATATAATCCCATAAACAAATGTGTAGCATATTGGATCCCGCAATTTGATTGAAGCATAAAGTCACTACTACTACTAGACTTTCTAAAATTAGAGAAAAGTCAATGGAACATAAAAGAATGAAGAGAGATGTGCACCTGAATCTCTAGAAGCCAATATCAATACCATTGGTTTGAAGTATGTCCATAGAACGGAAGACGATGCTAGATGGGGGGCACTGGCCCCACATGCTTTTTTACCATTGATATGCACACTCACTGTAGGTTTGTGTGAAATCAATAGTAAAAAAACATGTAGGGACAGTACCTCCACATGTAGCATGAAATTTTCCCCATAGAACACAATAATAATCATAGAAACACCGAAAATGTATTGAAATTTGGTGCTTTAAGAAATTCCTTCACGAGAGCTTACATTGACATATAAAAATATAACAATAACAACAACAACAACATACCCAGTATATTCTCAACAGGTTGGGATCTGGGGGGTCAGTTGTACGTAGACCTTACCCTTGTAATTATACAAAGAGGCTGTTTCCGTAGCGACCCAAGGTGCGCCGTTTGATAAATTTTTTTTTTCTAGAAACTTCACTAATAGAAGAAGCACTAGAATTTAATTAAGTCATTTTGATCTAGTCCATTATTAACACTATGCCAAGAGAATTGTTAAAAATGACTCTTCCAGCTCCATTTGCAATAAAAATATAACAAGTCCAAGAAATAACAGAACACAACGATAACACCACATGAGATGATAAATAGCTATAAGTTCTGTAAATACCAGAAAATCACAATTTAGTGAGTGAGATGACACCACAACAATTTGGCCCATATAAAAACACCGACAAACTAAACAAACATAACATAATCAATAGATTGATAAATAAACATAAACAGTATAACAATAAGATTAAAAATGTTATTAAAAAAAACTAATTAATAATCATGTAGCCCCCAAATCATATAACTTTCTCAAACATTTAACTTTCTCAAACATTGGTCTCGGTCTCCTCATACTGCTTCAGGATCTCACCACAGATGTCCAACGGGCTTGACCTGTCAAACCCAATGGCATTCGCAAACCTGACATTGGTGCTCATGCCATTGTTGCGGGTGAGGATGACACGGGCCTGGTCACGGCCCGAGCTGGGCTTGCCAAATTCCGGATCCGCACTCTTAACAGCAATGACATTGCAAACATCATTGCCAAAGTCGCCATCAATGAGGACTTCATAGGTGCCGTCGCTTTTGGTCACAAACTCCTTTTGGTAGGTCACTTGAGTAGGGTCCGTCCTCTTTGTGCACAGAATTTTACCAACCGCAGCTGCAACCAAGTAAGGTTATTTAGACGATTAGGCAAATGAGAGAGGTGATAATCTTGAGGTGGATAATAACAAATGTTTTGAGATTCGACAATACTAATGATTAAAATGTCGTATTATACTCGCCGATAATATATCGATAAAATAATGTATGTTACCGGTTATTGGTACAGTTTAAGAACGCAAAAAATAAAGGATTTACAATAATGTCTGGTTGTACCGGTGCAAAATACAAGAAAATCCGGGGCAAAATAGCAGTCAATAAAAAAAAGTTTACAAAATAAAACATAAAAGACGTTAATAATTAACTTACAAAATTAGTGCTTGAAATTGGTTATTGCATTTTAATTTATTGAGAAGATGAGACTTAGTGAATGTAGTAGTAATTTAATTTTTTTTAACTTTTTTATATTTAATGTAAAAAAATATACATACGAGTATTTTTGCCAATCTGGTAGTTACGGCAAATCTGCGGGGTGTATTCGTTTGGGATTTCGAGTGACATTTTGAGACTTCAAAATTTTCAGATTTTGGAGGAATCATGTGAAATCTAAAGGTGGGAATCTTGAGTGGGGTTTTGTATAAAGTTTTTTCTTTAGACATCCCAACAAATTTAAAAGTCTTAACAAATTCTAATCTCAAATAAGTTAAATACTTCATAATTTTTCTAAAGTCTTAAAAAGTTTTTAGAGATCTCAAATGAATACACCTTCTACTTGTAATAACAGTTTTTGATAGGGTCATCTACAAAATACTAGTTTTATAACTATTTCATTTGATGACTGTTTCTTGGTGACAAAGTTGGTGGTGAAATGGTTTCAAGAGACCCAATCTACCTATAGACTTGATCATAGTTACTTGATTTAATTCAGCATTTATCAACTGCTGACTAAGAACTAATACAAAGAAATAGAAGTAAACCAACAAGCTAAGCACACACAAGAAAATATCACTGTTAGGTATTAAATAGTGCAACTAATTTCTATTTTAAATATATATAATTCAGATCCACAGCCGGCCAGCACCAAAACAGTTCCTAAAACTAGGTTTTCTGAACTAATAACTCAATAGGAATCCAGATCGACAACAAAAACTTCCAGATCTACAAAAGAAAATGAGCAATAGGGATGAAATCGATGCAGATCTAAAAGAAAAACAGCGCGTGTACAACCAAAAGTACAACTCAGTAAAGCATACGAGTATGTGTAAGTGTGCGAGGGGGAAAGGGTTACCAGCGAGTGGTCTGGAAGCTTTGGTCTCGTAGCCACAGAGGCAGGTGTCGCCGTATACGGATCCCTTCAGCATCAACTGATCGCCATTGAAACTGGCGCTAACAATGGAGGGTACCACGCATAGAGCCAACAGTACAACCAGGAATTTCTCCATTTCTTCTTCTTTGTTTACTAACAGAGTCCTCTGACAATATGTCTACTACAATGAGAAATGCGAGATTTATAGATAATAAAGGAGTGATAGGGTTTGATGAATGTGTGATTTATGAGAATGCGAGATTTATAAATAATAAAGGAGTGAGAGGGTTTGATGAATGAGTAGTGTGTTTTATGGTGTGTGTGGGCTGGCACACAGAAAGGTTCACATGGGAATTTCGAAAATCGGAGGAGCAAAATAAAAAAAAATAAAGTAAAAAGAAAAAAGCGCGTGTTGCGGGCCTTGCGGCATCAATCAGTGTATAATTGACAACTTACAATCTGCCCTACATTTTACGTTTGATTTCGGTGGGGTGGGGCCCTCACCTGCTCATTTACAGATTACGCGGAGAGAAAATACGGGTAGGATTTGCGTAACTTCCAGGGCAGGCCTTAATCATTTTCACATTCTGTTAATTGGTTTTTTTTTTTTTTTTATACCGAGGTTTCAGGCTTGCGTCTGACTAGTCTTTGAGGAAACAACTCCGGCCCCTCAGACACTAACTGTTAATTGGTTTTTTACTATGAGTTACTAGTACAGTTGCCCGTGCAAATGCACGGGAGCTACAAAAAAAAAATCATTAAACATTTGCAATTCATACAAATTCATAATGATTAAATATTATTGAACAATTTCTTATATACAATGTTCTTCGTCTTTGAGCTCTATTTATCATCACAAATTAATAATTTCAATCATTTCACATTTGTAACTATGAAACAGCGACATAAAGTTTTGAGCTATTTTTATCATCATAAATTAATATTTTCTATCATTTCTCATTTGTAACTCATGAAACAGCGACGTAAAGTTGGTCATGCGTAAATACAGAGTTCTTCAGGTATGACATTCATATAAATTAATCCTCAATAACTAAAATATATATTTTATTTTTAATATGCATAAGATATATAATTACCGATCAATAATAAGTCCTTACAAACGGAGCCTTTAGCCAAATCGGTAAAATTTTTGAAGTTATATATAAATTTCGAAAAATTTTTATTTGAAGTTTCACCATAAAATTTATCTTCAATTTTGCCATAGTAGTTTTATCAATTCTAGATAACGGTATTTCGATCTTGAAAGCACTCATTTCATAATATCGCATCACACGGACTTTGACACTTCATTCTGTTTTTTGTACCTTCTTTAGAAGTGTGTAAGCAATTGTTTGAATAAGATGTGAGAGAGATGTGAATGTGATGGTACCAACACACACACACACATATATATATATATATATATATATATATATATATCTTATTAAATAAAAAATGATTTGCACTATTCAAGCCACTAACAATGTAACTTACAAACGTGTGTTAACTTCTATCTGTCTTTAACTTTCAAACTGACTTTCATGCTTTTAGGGTGTATTTTTACACATTCATGGTTTATTGTGTATTTTTAACATCTAACAAAACTTAAAACGTGTGTTAACTTCTATCTGACTTTAATTTTTTCAAACTGACTTTCATAGTTTTAGGGGTGTATTTTTAACTCCTAACTTAAAACGTGTGTTAACTTCTAACACTTTCATGGTTTTAGGGTGTATTTTTAACATCTAACAAAACTAAAAAAACGTGTGTTAGCTTCTATCTGACTTTAATTTCCAAATTGACTTTCATGGTTTTAGGGGTGTATTTTTAACTTCCATATGTTAGACTGCTGTTAATACTTATATTTTTAAAAATAAAAATCTTATGATCGTATTTTATTTTGGACTTTGTTTAGTGTTGTTAAGTATGTTTGACTGATTTACGAATTAAAAAATAAAATATTTTATGAACATAAATTTATAAGTCTAAAATAATTAACTGCCTACCATTTAATATTTAAGTCATATTTTTATGTTATCGCGATATTACCAATAAATACAAAAGGTATTTACGAAATACTCTTTATTTATATTATGTAATCGAATATTTATTACATATATTGCCTATTGCATATATATATATATATATATATAAAATACTATTTGTTTAATTGCTTAATTTAATACTTTAACTTCACTTTCATGCTTTTTGGGGTGTATTTTTAACGTGTAACATAACTTACAAACCGTGTGATAACACGTGTAAAAGAATGTGAGAATTTTCCAAAAATAGTAAGAGTGTGGTAGGACCCACATAAAACTTTCTAAAAATGGCAAGTGTGTTGCCTAATTATATAGTAGATAGATTTGGATGAATATAATATTAAAACTATAAATATAATAATATTATTATATTTTAAACATAGCGTATTATATGTTATATTTATACATATAATATTAAAACTATAAATTAGATAATGTTATATTTTAAAATTTGATCATTGGTTAAAATAAATAATACATAATCATTTGATTGCATATGATCACTATTTGATTGTATAAAATGTAATAAATAATATAATTTTGGTAACTTTGAGGGATCATGACCAATTAATTAGCTGAAAATATTAAATTTATTATAACAATTGCTTATGCGATTTTAAGAAATTTTACGATGACATTAAATTCAATTAATATATTTAAAAAACAATCACTTAATCAGATAAAAAAATATAATATTGAATTTAGAATAAATAACTTGAACAAAATTTTTTTCCACTTTAATTTTTTATGTTTATGTATTTTTTATATATCATTTAGTGTCAAATATAATTATTAATTTTAATAATAACTATCATATGATATAATAAAAATATAATTATTACTCAATTAATATAAAATATAACGGTTTTTGTTTTAATTAACCTAAAGTGGAAGAAAATATTTTATTATTAATAGGTTAGGGTGAATTAATGTAATAATAATAATAATAAATTAATAATAATAATAATAATAATAATAATAATATATTGTAACAATTTTTGTGTTAGGAAAGTTGCCACGTAGATAAAATTTATGAGGTAAAATTTAATATTTAACTAGCAATTATATATATAGATGTAGATTACTAAAACACACACAACCAGGATTTTATAGGCACAAACTGAGAACTGTACACATTTTCTTGGTTATTTAAATTCATGACATGAGCATTCTACAATATATGTGATGTCATTATACACACAAAATTCAAGTGATATATTTAAGCTTAAAACTTTCATACAACTGAAAAGTAAAATTTGGATTGGCGAAACTCATGGAATAGTAAAAATATTAATGCCACCTTCATAACTAGTACGTACCCCGCGCGATGCACGAGAGAGATATTAAATGAATTATTTTCACAGTCTCTGTCCGTTTAAGTCTGAGTCTGAGAAGGGTTATTATCCATTTTCACCTATTTTAATCACCATTAAGTCCCGTTTAAGTCTGAAAAGGGTTATCATCCATTTTCCACCTCTTTTAATCACCGTTAAGTCTAAAAAAATAGAGTTGTAATCTATTTTTCACATCCTTTAATCAGCGTTGTTTTATTACTCAGAACATTAAACGTGAACATGTTAGGGCTAACTTGTAAAATAATTAATATATTATCCCACTAACACATTTATACTAATATAAATTTAATTTTATTACATATATTTATTTCTTGATATAAGAGAAACTAACAATTTTACTTATTCTTATTCACTATATAATAGTTAATTATTAAACTTTGTTGTCATATAATGTCATTATTATTTATAAAGTTATAGAAGTTGCACGTCTTATTGTTCTTTTTATTTTATGTAATGAAATATATTTAATGCACGTTGGTATTATTTATATAAATAATCAATTTAAAATATGTAAATAAATTTAAAATAAAATAGTGTATAAATAATGTACAAAATATACACATATATTTTTTTAGAATTTAATTTTGCATACTAATTAAACAATTTTGATTTAAGAAAAGCCATGAACTCAATCTCTTCGAATATCAATATTTTTCTAATTTGCAATGTAATGATTATTCTTATTATATATATAGATTAGAATTTTTGCGACATCAATCAAACTAAATATCACAACAACCAAGTAACAATTATGAAAAACCACGTGTCGCAAAATATGAGGATTCTATATTAAATTTGTATTTAATTGATAGTTGTGTGTTTTTCTATATGTGTATTTAATTGATAGTTGTTTTTCACAATTATATATGTGTATTTTTCTACAAAAAAAATTATGAAAAACCCATAACACAACAACTATCAATTAAATTTGGTAATAGAAAAATTACATACATATATATAAAAATATGAGGATTCTATAGTTCTATTAATTGATGTATACACCACGTGTATATTTTGTCAAGGTATATTGGAATGTTCAATTTCATAGCATGATAACAATCAGTCTTAAAAAATCGAAAATCTTATTGAAATGCCATATTTTTCTATTAAAAAGTTCCCATTAAAAATAATTATATCATAGCAAATTTATTGTGTAATTGAACAAATTTTCATAATGAAGCCCGATTTTCTGTACAAAAATAAAGCAACACCTTCCACATTTTAAGGAAATCAATTAATGTTGGTCCGTTTTTTCTAAGAAAATAATAAATAAATAAATTGTAATTAATGGAAAGTAATTAATGATGAGAGAATTTGACCATATCTGTTTTTAAAAATCGTAACAGAAAAACAAATATTAAATAAAATGTATAATACGGAAATAGTAATAGTAATAAATGTTGTTGACTTTTCTAGCTACTAAATTTGGTAAATAGGACTCCCTTTAATATAAGTATAGATTTTCTGTGTGTATGTGTGTTTCTTTTGTTAACTAGTACGTAATTGAAATCATTAAAATTTGGAAGAATAATATAACCTCACGTGCATTAGGATCGAAATTGAAATCATTAAAATACATAGGAACATTGTTGTATTATAAAAAGTTCGGTAACAATCATATATTATTAAAAACCTCCTTGTACACAACATTATGAGTTTGATTATTTGGTAACTCCTCATTATCACAAACTAATATTTTCAAAAAAGACAAATCCTAAAAATCAAACTAATATTGTTGGTGAACAAACTGATATTTTAGGATTGGTGAACAAACTAATATCTTAGGATTTCTAGGATTTGTCTCTTTTTGGTGAATAAACTAATATTTTAGGATTGGTTATATGAATAAGGCTACCTGTTTTTTGTGTTCTTTTCATTCCTTTTCATTCAAACAATCCGATGACTTGTTTAATGAAATCCGAATCTTAAGCCGAAATATTTAAAAAAAGAGTTTTTAAAAATTGAAAAGTCAAGGCAATCAGTTCAAATTAATTAAAGGTCAAAGAATATCCGCTCCTTGAAATAAAGACGTGTGCTATCATTAACCAAATATCTGGTTATTGATATAGAGTGGTTACCAAAAAATAGAACGTGATAAGGACGCTTCATGGAAATATCAATGGGATAAGGTCATAACAGATCGCTATACATTTTAACGATAAAAGCTCATATGGAATGATTTATGATAATTATGTCGTAATTAATGAATTAATTAGATGTGTGAAAATGACATAATTAATGAGAAGTGTGAAAAAGACATAATTAATGAGAAGTGTGAAAAGTACAAAAACTTACCAGTTTTGGAAAATATTTAATGCAAATCCGACATTGACCATAATTTGACCTACTATTTTGGATAAATATTAATTCTTATTATATAAATATTGATCAGTGTGTGCCATTACATATATTAAATAGGTTTAATTTATAGTGCCACTTAGGTAAATATAAATATGTTTTATTTTATTAGGTTTTATTAAATGATTAGCTAGCAATTATATATATATATATATATATATATATATATATATATATATATATAGATTTCGAATAAGCCCTCATTCGTCTTTATATCAATTTGTTTTCTGAATACCTGCGAAATACGTTGGGAGGTGTTCTCGGCATAAAACCACATACAATCTAGTCAGTGAAGAGTTATAAAAAGCTTATATAATTGTATTGTAAAGATTAGAATGTATAGAGTAATTAATCTCTTTTCTTTGATATCTCTTCCCTATTTAGATTGAATATTTGACTTTTTGAACATATTTTGCCCTACCTGACTGCCCAAAGCCCTGTCTGGGTGCTCGGGCTGCCGAGGGGTCTGTTTGAAAATTATTTGGCTACCCCTAAGTCTGTCCGACACCCATTTTTATTCATAGAATCATCTAGATCTTTCCCCTATGGTCGTACACATGTCTCATATCAGCAGATCCTTATATTATTTATCCATAGGTCTTCTTACTCCTTTTGCTTCTACAAGTCCTCCTCTAAACTAAGTCTCTGTAGCTCGCTTACGTCACATAAGTCCCGTAAGGCCATAACCTTTTGAACATAATTCTGCCCATTCTGTCCTAGTTGTTAAACTGTCCAACCTACTGAGATGTTGACACCACCCTACCTTAGTTACTATATATTCGAGCTACCAATTACCAAATGCCCGAGCTATTGTCATACTATGTTGTCCGAGCTACTTTCATACTATGTTATCCAAGCTATCACATGTAAACTATGTTGTCCAAGCTACTGACATATTATGTTGTCCGAGCTACTAACATGTTATGTTGTCCGAGCTGCTTAGGGCCCGCTCACTCGAGCAAGTTGAAACCCATTAACCCAAGCTACTTTGGGACCGACTAACTCAAGCTGATTGTAGCCGGTTTACCCGAGCTACACTATGTGCTATATCTTAATGTAAATATCTTAATACGAATATTTAAATAATAAAAAGTAAAAACAATGAATAAAAATATAACAAGTTAAGTCATAGTTTAAAAGTATGTACATTTTAATTAAACAATCAATGAAAATATAATAAGATAAGTCATAGTATTAAACAATCAATGAAAATTATAATTTTTTATTTTAAATGTCAAATACCAAAAAATAAAATGATATAATAGAACTAAACCGATAAATGTTGGACTACTCAACGTAAGACTTTGCATTTTCAAACTTTCAATTTGAAATCATATTCAAAATTTTTAGTTTTTAGTTGCCATTTTAAAATATGACTCTAATTCCTAAAAAATACAAGTTTTTGAATGTTTTATTGTTTAAATGTCGTTGCAGAAATATGGCGTGAAGTAGTGCAAAGTAGCATAAAAAACGTGTCATTTCAGCATTTCGCGTACTCTATTCTGAAAAATGCTATATATATATATATAACGCTCGTCGCGTTTTTTGTTTGTTGTTGTTGAAAAAAAGCACTATAGCGCGCTGTAACGAGCTACGTAACGCACTATTTATAACAATAGTGCATATCAGTTGTGTAATCTTACTTTTAATCAATTTATTCATGTAATGCGTGCATTTTATTTATAAAATCAATGTTAATATTATTTATCCATACACCGTGTCACTTGCGTTCTGGATAAGTTCAATAATGTGACAAAAGAAAAAAAAAGTACTAGTTCACCTTTGTTTTTTTTACCCGTACGGGCCAAACGGGTCGACCCTGAGCTAGGAGTGTCAGGGTGGTCCTTTGGACCGAGTAACTAGGGACCCGATCATGATTTGGTTTGATTAACTTGATTTGACTCGGTCATTTTTTTTACAAAATTTTATATATAAAATAAAATTATGTATATATATATATATATTTATCTTGTAAATATTTATGAAGAGATGCAATATTATTAAGATTTTGAGGTATAAAGTTTATTATAAATTGTGTATTTTTGTTATATTTTTGTACAATCATAAAATAAAAATAAATAAGTATAATTTTATTTTTAAACCGATACAATGATTTTTTTTTTCCAAACGATAGACAATCTCATTCAAACACAAACAAAGGGCAAAGGACCCTATTACATCCGAATTGAAAAGGGAGCCCCATACACTAAGTATGGTCTAGAAAAAAAGACGACCCAGAGGGAAGCCTAGAGAACCACAACACTCACAACTCATCCACAAACACCAGAACAAACAAAACACTCCCAACGAGAGAACAACATACTCCCAATTTGAGAATAAACTGCTCTCAACAGGAGAATCATCACCCACCAAACGTAAAACACAAAACACAACACACAAAAGATACAAAGCACACAAAACACACAAAAGTACAAAAAGTAATAATAGAGTAATGCGCTTCCCACCGACCGGACAACCACTTCGCATCACCAGCAAAGCAAGGACGACGACCCGAATCCAGAAACTTCCTTCAAATACTAACGGCTATAAATCTGGACCACAACCCTCTTACCCTCCCAAAGGAGACTCCGTCAGGAGCACCAGAACAAAAAACAAACCAATTCAATGATTGACTCAATGATTTAGCGATTGGACGGAACCAAATGTCAACCGGGTCAATCACGTGTTGGAGTTTTAAAAAATTATTTTGTAGTTTTTTTTTTTCCAAAACGGCAGATTCAATAGNATCCAAGGCAACCTAGATTCCACAATACACACTACAAGACAAAAATGAAAAATAAAAAGCCCCCCCACAGGAGAATACACAAGCTCCCCACAGGAAAATATCACAAGCTCCCCACAGGAAAATATCACAAGCTCCCCATAGGAGAATGACACGCTCCTCCTCTAAAAGAGGAAAAAACAAACATAATCCAAAACAAAAACACCCACAGGCAAAAACAAAAAAACCCAACACAAACCTAAACAAAAACACTTAGAAAAAGCTAACATAACCTTAAAACAATAAAAAACAAAGACTGAACCCCTCCACAGCAGAAAAAACACGCCAAACGAACTGCGACAACATCACCCACGACCAATCACACATTCGGATCAGATTTCACCCCAAGTCTCAAATCCAGAAACTGCAACAAATGCCTAACTGGACCCAAAACTCCAGAGCTCAACCCTGCACATAGGTAACCGACTCCACCCCTAGCCGGAGGAAACCGAAATAATCTCCCACCACACAACCGCCTCCCGAACTCAGCCCACACCATGAGCCAGACCACGACACGCCGATCGTACCCTCGACCCTCGGACCAAGGCAAAGGGGACAAGGGGGAAAGCTCACCAACCTCCACCCTAACCACCACCACACGGCCGTTGGAGACAGTAGACACAACCCACCCCTGCAGAAGCATCGTCGACCGTCACAACTGCCCGACCATGGAGATCGACAACCTCCGTCCCGATAAGGTAACTAGGCGAGCAGTGAAAACCTCTCAGGACCAACCAACCTATCTATCGACGTGATAACACAACTCAGGCACAAAATAAGGGCTGAGGCGCGTAGCTACGGGTCGGTCGCCGTCAAAATTTCGACGCCTCGATTGGGGAAGGCGAAACGGAAGACAAATCGACGATTTTTTTTTCGAGGGTTTATTGTGTTAGAAGAAAAAAAAAGGATAATATTTTAAGCATTTTTTTTTCCGAGGGTTTATTGTGCTAGAAGGAAAAAAAAAGGATAATATTTTAAGCATGAAAAGGTTTTTCCATAACATAAATGTTGCATTGCATTCCCCTCTGCCCTAACTGTACATAAAAACTCTCACTCCCACCTAGCCGCCTCCACCACAGCCAACTTTTCTGCCTCTGCCGACGCGGCCTGGCCACCTCACTAGTCGCCGCTGCATCCCTTCTGAATCAGCATATAGGTACAAATTTTTTATTTCTCATTTCGATTGTTCTTTAGAAGCTTGAATTCCGATTCTTCTTTTACATTTGAGCTTCCAAGTATCTATCCTATGTGTGTCCGACGAACAGAGAACGGTTCGGAAATCTTGGAGTTTCTTCTTTCAAATACTCTTTTCGATTGAAGTATCTGTCACGGTTACTGTCTCAAATATGTTCTCAGCTGACCTGAATCGTCTCTTTTCAGCCGCAATTTCCATGGAGTGTGGTTTGGGCATGGCGACCACGCACTTCAGGCATATTGGGGTGTGCTTTAAACCAAATTCACCAAAAGTCCGGCACTTTACTATCAATTGCCATTCTGTTTCTCTCTCGACCTCTGAGAATTCACCGACAGGTGTATTTGCGTTTGAATTATCCTAATAATTGAGTTTTAGTGTGGGCATCATTTCTAAAATAATAAAGGTTTTGTCCTTTTGCTGTGTCAAATTTATCTGCAAAAAATGCGTTTTTTCCAGGATTGGTGGAAAGGCCATGGAAGGTGGCGGATGCAAGACTTGTTCTTGAGGATGGTTCTGTTTGGCGGGCCAAGTCATTTGGTGCCTCTGGGACCCAAGTTGGCGAAGTGGTTTTTAATACATCATTAACAGGGTAAAGTCCAATTTATTATCGCCTTCGGGTATACCTTCTTACTATTCAATTTTAAATGATTATTATTGTTTCTTGTCATCCTAATTTCCTTATTCATATTATAGGTAATCCCTGATTTTGTTTGTGCATTTCAGTCATGCAGTGGCATAATCTGTTGATATTGCTATGGTTTCATATGTTTTTAATAGGCTGCATCATTGATTTGAAGACACTGACTAATAGACTGATGCACAAGGAGAATCTGTGTATCAGAATTAACTTGGTATAACTTTACTTAGGTTGACCCTGACAATAATGTTGTACATTTTCGGGGATCAGTTGTAAAGAAACATAATTTCAGAAGAAACAGAAAGATAACTCAAAAAAAGGAAAGGGGGAAAAAATCTTCCACGAAACTATTTCTATCAACAGTTTGTGAAATAAATCTAAAATGTCAAATCATTTAGCATTTCGATCAGTTTCATGTCCCAGTTTCTTCTCGTTGACCTTTGGTTGCATTTTGAGAAAAACAATATGAAACATAATACTTGTTGTTTCTAACAGGAACTGAGTAAGTAGTTAGGTATTTTAGTTAATATGCTTTGGTCTTCGCTTGGTGAATTATGAACACCAAAAACTGTACAGAAAGCTTTGTTGTTAAGGAATATTGCAATTTGCTTTAGCATGAAGTTGTATAATTTTATGTACTTGTAACTGTGATCTTGTTTCATATTTCCATTCTCTTTCATTTCAGGTATCAAGAGATCCTTACTGATCCTAGTTATGCTGGCCAATTTGTTCTGATGACTAACCCACATATTGGCAACACTGGTGTTAATTTTGGTAGGTGTATCACTTCGTTTTGTTATTTTGACAAACTTCAGTTGGGATTTTGGAAAAGGGACCTCAGTTTCTTGTGCGCTTCTTCACAGATGATGAAGAATCAAACCAGTGCTTTCTAGCAGGGCTTGTTATCCGAAGTCTGAGTATTAGGTTATAGCCTTTTTTCTAGGCCAACTTATTTCACTTTAAGCTTTTCTGATTACACATGTTTCTTATTAATACTGCAATGTGTTTTTATCTTGTGCATTTACGGATTAATGTATTACAGCACCTCCAACTGGAGATGCACTGAAAAGCTTGGAGATTATTTGGCGTCAAGGAACATTATGGGAATATGTAAGTTGTGATTTCTGCATCTCCAGCTTCATTTCCATTTTTCTTTGTTTCTTGTCCATATTAGCCATCAAGTTGCATGTTTAGTTGTGTCTAATTTATTTAAATATTGCAGATGATGTAGACACTCGTGCTATTACCCGTCGATTGCGACAAGACGGTAGCCTTATTGGTGTGTTGAGCACAGAAGATTCTAGAACGGATGAGGAACTCCTGAAAATGTCCCAAACATGGGATATAGTTGGTGAACAAACAAAAAAAATAAATAAATAAAATAACCCATCCCCTCCAAGTTGATGTTGAAAATGATAAAATTGAGACAAGAGACATTGAATTACCCATCTGTTTATTTTGCAGGCGTGGACTTGATAAGTGGTGTCTCTTGTAAGGCTCCTTACGAATGGGTTGATGAAACAAAGTCAGACTGGGATTTCAACTTCAACAACAAAGGAAAAGATGAGACATTTAAGGTAAGTATTACATAGATGCATGTGGTTCTTAAAAAGTTCTTGTAAATTTTTAATTCATTTACCGTCTACCTCTCGCTGTTTTTCTTTCATATAACTTCA